AGTGCCTCTGGTTGTGCCATGTGGGATGCCGCCTCAGCATGGCCTGATGAGTGGTGCTAGGTCTGTGCCCAGGATCCGAACCAGCGAAACCCTGGGCCACTGAAGCAGAGTGTGCAAACTTAACCACTTGGCCACGGGGCCGGCCCCAGAAATACCTTTTCATTGGTGAATTGAGTCAAGTCCAAAACACAGGACTGGCCAGAAACATTATACAGGTACCTCTGTCCCCATTAAAATGGGGCAGAAGAATTTGGCAAGCCCAGCCATCTAAGACCTGGAACTCCTATGGGACCTGCAGTTCATGCCTCCCCACCCGCACACCCTCAGCAGAGCGTCCACATGCGACCCCGCTTTCTCAGTACAATACTACTGTCCACACATCCTCACGTTCCCCACGGAAGCACATCCGGAGGGCGAACAGACACTTCGCCAAGCTTTAGGAACAGCTGGCTCGAATCTCTTTTGCAGGCTCACTGCTCAGTTTGTCCTTGTGGTCTGAGATTTGCCTTCACAGCACCTGCCCTGGTAGCCAGCTTCCACGGAGAGAGAACCACAGCCTTTCCCTACCCCGGGGAGTCGGAAGATCCTGATGGTCACCAAGAATCTGACGTGTCGGCTTAGGTCAGTTTCCAGTACCAGGAAGAGAGGTGCCGGGCTTGGAAGGAAGCTGTAGGGTTCAAGTGGACGTACGGGCAGCCTTGGAGGAGGGGAGGTGGCTTTGGGAGACTGTGTGTGGACTGATTCTACTGTATTTCCTGATTTTACTGTATCCGCTCCCAAATACCAGGAGGATTAAGACTTTATGGAGGAAAGAGTTGGAGGAAACCCCAGTGATAAGAGCTCATGAAGGCCCTGATTAATATTTATGACCCTGATGCAGTGGCGCGGCAGAGGCTCTCGGTGACATTTCACGCTCCTCTCATAAGGGGCTCTGTCCAGTGCGTTTCCACATCCCACCCTTCGCACAGTGTTTTGCTTTGCCTCAGACACCATGGATACCAAGAGGCACGATTTTTCCAGGGCTCGTGCTCCCTCCAGATGTTCAGTGTCTCATGAATTTACAATTTGGAGTGTCTGTCACAGCCCGGAGGCCCTCGTGGTTTGCATTACAGGACTCCACGTCTCGGGTTATGGAAAATGTATAGAGATGTAAATTACATACTAGCATTTTGTATAAAGGGAGCTGGAGGGTTTTGGGGGCAGGGGGAGGTTGCTCTGAAAATGGGCCTGGGGGGCTGCTTTGTGCCTTCTTTCCTTCCAGCCCCTGGCCTCTCTCCACTCAGAGGTTTGTATCACATCCACTCTTGCTCTCTGCAGCTTGGAGCAGCTTTTCAAGTGACAGAAACAGGAAAAATCACCAGGGGAAGGTGTTAACATGCAGATTTCTGGCTGGATTTATATCTCCTGAGAGAGAATCTGCATTTTAATGAGCTGAGCCCCAAGAGCCTGCATTTTAATAGGCCAGTGCTAAGTAATCTAAATTCCACTTTTTTGTTTTAATTGGGAAATATAATCAGAAGAATATATTCAACTGTGTGTGTAATTCAAATAGTAATGAAGCAAACGTCCACATGTCAACACTGCCCAAGTTAGGAAATAGAGCAGCGGTGGTCCTTGGATCCCCCTGAAGGGTCTCTCCCATCACTGTGTCCCCACCCCTACTCCCTTACCTCTAGCTAAACCATTCTCCTGAGTTTTGAGATACTTAGTGCCCTGCCTGTCGTTGTAGATTGTCGTTTATAATGCATCCTAGAACAATGTATTGTTTTGCCTATTTAAAAATTGTACAAAACGGAATTGTCCTGAATCCGTTGTGCCTCGCTGTTTTCACTGTGTTATGCATGTGTGGTTCCCGTCTGCTGTTGCAGCTCATTATAATCTGTCCCTTTTCATTGCTGTGTAGTATTTCCTCGTGTGAAGCTAAGACAATTGATCTAATCTATTGTTCACGGACATCTCTTCCAGCCCAGCTCTGAGGTCAGTTTCATGTATTTTATCATCAGGCTAATTTTGCTGAGGAGGAAATAGCAGATCCAAGAAGTCGAGTAATTTACAAGCCTAGCACAGGGGTTAAACTGTGAGTTTGAAACCTGGTTCCACCACCAGAGGTATCACCGTGTGAGCTCAGGCACATCAATCTGTGTGTTTTGGTTTTCCTATCTCTAAAATGAGAATAATAGTTCTTGTTTCAGTATTGCGATAATTCAGTAAAACAAATACATGTAGAGTAGTTAAAACTGTTCCTGGCCCATGCAAATACTGCCGTTCAGGAATGGGAACGGGACTTCTATCTTACTTTATATCCTTTTACAGTTTGAATCCCATGAGCATATGTTACTTGTATGATCCATTAGTTAAACAGAAACTATGCCCCACATCTCTTTACCCCCAGCCTCAGGTCCAGGAGAGAAGTGAGGAACAGGCTAGCCCTCACCACAGAGGAGAGCTGAGTCTGGCCTGGCCCAGCCACCCAGGCAGACGTCGTCTGACCCGCAATGCCTGCTTCGACAAGGCACAAGAGGCAGGCGGATGCCAAGACAAAGGAGGACAGGGGCGGGGGGCATATGACTCCCATCTTTACCCGGTTCCTCGTTCCACCCGGCCACTTGCAGAGGGGCTAGCCCGTGTCTTTCTGGGTCACTGTGTCCTCATCAGTAAAATGGGGGAAGGGCGGGCTCAGAGAAGAGCCCCGGGGTCTTTTTCAGCGGATTCCCCGACACTGAGGCTTTGGGCTAAAGCTGCTGAGGTGCCAGGGCAGTCAGCTTGCAGGTGGTTCTCTGGCAGACTTGCCTACTTTTCAGAAATGCCCCAGGAGGGGCTGTAATGGCCTGGTCAGACTTGTTGGCCTGGCGGCAGGGAAAGCAGCCAATGGGCCAGCGGCAAATTTACGCTGTAGTGGATCCACTCTCCCCCAAGATGAGCCCTGTTGGGAGTGGTTGCACTCCTGTCCCCTCGAGCGCATGCCGATTACCTAAGACCCTCTTACCTGGAAGTCAGTTCCTTCTAAAACACACCGGACGATGCAACTCTGCCTGCTCGTTTTCACAGTGTAAGGTCACTCCAGCCCCACTCCATGGAGGCCTCCAGCCCATCAGCCTGTCCTTTCCTTCCTCCTTCCCTCGGCCTCACAGCTAGTTGTCACCATCTTCCTGGTGAGCCAGAAAGCTGAGGGCAAGGGGCCATGCGGTCATCGGTGCCACAATTCACCCTGGCCTGGGTCCAGCTGAGATAATACCTCCCATCACCCTCCGCGCCCCCTCACTTCCTCTCGGATGGATATGTGAAGCATCTGGAAAGTCAGCTGCTGCCGCCTTCCACCCCAAAGAGGGTGGTGAGGTAATCCCCATACATAGTCTGGCAAGAGCCTCGGGGTGAAAGGGGCTCTGTGTGGAGGAAAGTGCATGACTGCGTTCCTCTGGACTTCCAGGAGCACTTCACTGCTGTCCTGGCACCGAGGAGAGATGAAAAGTGAACCGGGACTCTCGCCTCTACAAAAGCATCTTTCATCCCACAGTAGACTCCAGATTGGAGGGAAGATTTCACTCTACAGTGGCCAGAGACAAGGAGCTCTGTTGAAGTCCCTGACCGCCCCGCCCCACCCAATTCTGAGGATTCCTACTGTAGCCCAGAAAGCTCTGGAGACGGGTGCAGGCAGTCTGACAACAGGAATGCCGACAGGTTTAAAGATGGAGCAGCAAACACATTTGACCAGGGTTGACTCTGGAAGGGCAGGCTGTCACCTGGGCTGACGGGTGCTCTGCAATGCAGAACGACCGGTGACTCAAAGGAGACGGGCAGCACCCGCGGGACAGACGACTCCGGTCTGCTTGTTAGCAGGAAGAGAAAGGGGAAGTCATCTCCACTGAGCCCACCTGAGTCAGGCCCTCGACAACTGTGAGCAGAAAACTCAGTGACAGGTGTGTAAGGTAGCAGCAGCGCGGCTTCCCCGCCGCTCTCCACTTCCCGCAGCCCTCTCTCCTGGGATTCGGTCACGCTCACCCAGGGCACACTCTGGAGGACGAGGCTGCGGGGGCGCAGCGCTTCCCGCCATTGAACTTCTCAGAAGGCAGCCACGGTGATGATGAACCCAGCTCTACCTAAATCAAAATGGCCGGTGTCCCCATCCCCGCCTCATCCCTGCAGAACAAAACCAAGGCCAGAGGGCGGGCCTGGGGAGAGCAGCGTCTTGAATGGCCTTTTGTTCTTTTTAACTGTGAAATTTTTATTACATAAATATTACCTTTCAAAAAAATTTTTATAGCACAAAAAAAGGATACAAATGGCACAATAACCATCCTCTCCAGACGCACTGTACAGTTCTTCCGTAGCTTTCAAGATCATCTGGGTGGGTCTACATATGCTCTTCTCTACCCCCAAAATTGCTTTCCCCCAGAAACGTTACATACGGTAGAGCTGCATCATATAAGGTTTTAACTTTTGTAAATTAACTATTAACTATTTGTGCCAGGGTTATTCCACTAACCAAGCGTGGGTCCCAGAATAAGCCTGAGTGGGAAAAGTGACGTAGGGTTTCAGTTCTCTCATGTTATTCTAGTGTTTAAAGCAACGTTTTTCCTATAAGTCCCTAAATTCAAGGCAAGTACCTCATCTGGAGCTCAAATAGGAAAACGGTGATCTGTTCCAGTGCTGAGGGACTCGAGACGTGCTGACTGCTACGAAGGAGACGGTGGGGCTCCAAAATGCCGCCTCCCTGAGGGGTTTAAGGGCAACCTGAACTCTACGCCATTTTATCTTCGCCTCAACTTGGAATCCACCCCCTAGAAAGACGATTCCGCTGGCCCGACACTATTCATGTTTTTTCCGTGGGGTTTATCCTGGAAGTTGTTCCAGATCAGTCTGTATCGATGCCTTGCTCTCTCAGGCCCATGCAGGCTACCGCACAGCCTGCCTGTATGCGATGCTCTTTGGAAAGAGTTCCATTTCACGTCACAAAGGAAAGAGAAAAGCCACAGTTAAAAAAGACACAAACTAAGAACAAATTTACAAACCCAGAATAAAACATTTTATTAATTTGCAGATTATGAGTATTACACAGCATATACATATATTTAGATAATATATAAAACAAACAACAGACCATAGGAAGGAAGATTGGTCTGAAACCGCCTTTGGGGACATCTTGAACTCTGAAGTCCGTGGCGACTGCCTCTCCCCACAGACGAGGGCAGACAGCAGGAGCGGCTCCCGTGTTCGCCTGTCAAAGGACGGCTGACCCCTCACTGTACTCACAACGCAACTACGGCGTTACGGCCTGGTCACCGGTGCCCATGACAAGGGACGTCAGGGAATAGATAAAAGAAGCACAGACAGAGAACTAACATAAATATTTGTTTTGCATTGTCCTCCAGATAGTTTCCTTTTTAAACTAAGAGTCATGTCCGGGGTCTATCCCTTGAGTTGCATTCCAGTTATTGCTGCAGAAAGGAAAGAAAAAAACAGAAAAGAGGCATCAGTTTATGTTATTAGAAAATAGATGGTCAGTGCCACTGACACCCCTAACGCTGGTGACACTCGAGGGGAGGCTGGGCTGGGAGGGAACGCAGCTGCGTCAGCAGCAGGCAGGCGTGTAAGCGCCCACACTGTCAGAGGGCACCAGTCAGCTGGCGGTGATTTGGGGCTGATAAAGAGGTTCAGATGGAAGATACTCTTCACGGAAGGCCTGTGAGCAGGAAGCAGCAGGCTCCCCCCAGGAGGGCAGGATCACCTTGTGGAGGTGGAGACGGCAGCAGGAGAACATTTCCCAGGCTCCTCCCTGATTCAGTGCTGATGGAGACGAGGACTAAGCTCTTACGATGCACAGGGGTTCCAGACTCCACGTCAGCAGAGAGAGGCTCTACAGCCAAACTCTTAGCACACAGCACTTCCAGGGACAGAGCTTCGCCAGCCCGCCGTCCCGCCCTCCTCTGCGGACCAGCCTACCTTTGCCTTGTTCTGAACTGGGAGATACAGTTTGAACTCTGCTGGCAGTTCGTCTTCTGAGTAGAGTCTGTCTGAGAAGTACACCCGTCGGATGCGACAGTTTGCGTGGATCTGTGGACGCGAGATTTATTTTAAGAGGTAAAATAGGATTGTCCCTCCTTTCCTGATTCTCTAGAGCCCCTCTCAAGATGCTGTCAAGGCTTCATCTCTTTGGCATCTCCCCAGCTTGCCTTAGGAGTAGCTTCTGGCAAGGAGAGGGAGATTTTGCTGGCTGTATTCTCCCACTATATCTGAGCAGACTCCTGAATATGTCCTGGACCTCTCCGAGGTCAAAGACAGTAACTTGGGAACTTTAGCCAGAAACCCACACTGTTCTGTCACATGGGCCACAAGCCAGTAACAGACAGAGCACACCCCGCTCTCCCATTTGGGGCTCCATCTGGAAAGGAGCCGGTACCTGCACTCTCAGGGTCTCAATGTAATTTGTGCCATACGCCCGCCGAGTAAAGTCTGACAGGTTGAACTGGATCTGGTTCCAGCCGTCGTCCAGCCGCATGGGCATAGTACAGATGAAGGGTTTCACCCGCGTGGTGCTCTGGTAGTTACTTGCCCGAAACCGCCGACGCACATTCTTGTCATCTAGCACCTATGAAATACAGAGAAGAGCCACGCTAACCCCATCCTGGAAGAAACAAACAACCTTGCTAAGACAAGGACCTGAACTCCACAGCCTGTTTCCCAAGGCTGGGACCCAAGGGAGGAGAAACAGACCAGATACAGGTCACAGTGGATGCAGATGGCCCGGAAGGAGCAAGTTTATCTCATCTGTTGCCAAGACAACACCAGCTGCCGATGACATATGACACATCCATGAGGCCCTCAGGCCATAGAATGATTTCATAAACATTCATCCCTTTGAAAAATCTAAAATACTAGAATAAGAGACCAATAATAACTCCCCATATGGGCACTACTCTACTCCTCAAGTTGTGAAATCCTGTAGCTATTGAGTAGATTTTCTAGATGATCACTGCTTCTTTAAAAATTTGGCATTAAATTTTGATCACTAATACCAATTTATGTTATAACAGTAAGGGCTGCATCAAGTGTACAGCAGAGGCAGAAAAAAATACAAACAAAAGGAAGAAGATACTTTCCTCGGGCCCCATTTTCCCTGTACAGTGACAGGACGCCTCTCTGGTGGAGCCCAGAGTGTACACATTCACGTGCACATACATACCTGTACTTCAAAGGTAAAATATTTCTTCAGGTTTTTGATAATCATGACGAGGAAGGGAAGTTTAATCCCCAACGTCTTCTTTGGGTCTGCAGGACACGTGATGTACGTGGTGCTGGAGAGAGAGGAAATGCCAAGAGACACACTACTTATCTTTGCCTTTGTGGTAGCACAACAACCACACCCGGTCCAAGAGGACCAAGTGGAAGGCAGATCTAAAAGATCCAGATATGTCATCCAGTGATCCCCCGACCTCAGTCAGCCGATGCTTTAAAAATGCTGGGCGCTGCAACAAAGGCTTAGCACGGGACTGGACGCCAACAGTAACAGATCTGAGCAACAGCGGCAGACAGTGCGTCTGTGGTAGCTCTTCCAGGGGGAGAAGATGCGCTTCCGGTCCAAGAGGACCATCAAAGGCTAGAAAACTAAGGCCCATGCAGCACTGAACACCACGCTGGCCACGCACTGGATGATTCGTGCAACACGCGTCCAACACACACACCTTGGTTACACACTCATGACAACAGCGAACACTTACAGAGCGCTTACTCTGCTAAGCAGGTTTGAAGTGTTTCACACACACTCACTTGTTTAATCTTCACAATAACCCTACAAGGAAGACGCACTGTCATTATCCCCGTTTTACAGATGAGGAAACTCAGGCCTGGGGAGTTGAGTGACCTGCCCGAGGTCAGCTCTAAGGAGCAGCAGTCATTCACCCAGGCGGTCTGACTGCAGTCTGCGCTGTCAACCTCTGGGAAGCAGCCGCCCTGGGGCATGACACCTGAGAGAGCAGAGTGGCGACCCACCTGACATTGGTTCCTTCAATCTCTAGCACTAGGGACTGGATGTCGTTATCGGTGATTCTTTTGATGTGGCCATTCCGCACCTACAAGGAAGAAAATTAAACTGGTTAGTATCAAAATATTTGGCAACAACTTTGTTAAGATTTTGAAGGCTGAATGGGGCCATTTAAAGAAAACCACCACAGTAGCCCAAGGGACATAACATAGAAGTTTGTGACAGTAAGCTGACGGTTATATGGGAGTAAGCCACGCTATTACCCTGCACAGGATACCATCAGTCAGCAAAGGAATCTGGCAATCTGTAAATGAGGATTAATTTCTTCCTGAAGAAATCAACTCAATTCAGATTCAGCTAACATTTACTGAGGGCCTACTATGCGCTAGGAACATTCATAGACATTCTCTCACTTAATCCTAACAAAAACAACAACAAAATCACAAGGTAGTTGGTATTGTTTCCACTTTACAAATGCGGACACTGATCCTGGGGAAGAGGCAAGGACAGACCCTAAGGAAGAGTGCGCGCTAAGGACCAGGCTTCCCCGGCCCCGCACTGCCACACGTCCTTCTCAGCCAGAAAGGTCGAATGCTGAATGTCACCGAGAAGGAGAGTGGCAACCAAAAAAGGGGAGCATACTCCCCAAAGTTCCCTCCTGCTTCATGCTTATCTTCTTTTCCCTAAGTTTCTACTTTTTCAAGTAGGAATTCAAGCGCCATCTGTGCCACACACAGAAGCCTTCTTCAGCATTTTCAGCCCACACTGACCTTTCTTCTCTTTGATGTGTTTTTCTGGCTCATGTAGCCTAGACTACAAAATTTAGCACTTCGTCCTACATTGTTTTGCATTGTTTGCTGCACGTGTAGAAGTACCTGAAGGGGAAGAGTCAATACTCACAGTTTCCTCCTCTCATAATACTTAGGAAAGCACGACCTTCAAGCATTAAACTGCTAAACCCCTAACACGGACAGAGCGGAGATACGCAAAGGGGTGGACTGTTAGGGCCGAGTGTATTAACACACGAAAAAGATCAACCTGGTTTAGAACAGGGCACACCAGAAAGATGAGCATGAGGCCTTTTTCTAGGGAGAGTGAAAACAGCCGCATTGGGCTATCATAGACAACCACCAGGGAGAGAAGGCACAGGGAGAGAAGGGTGTCGAGTCTGCGTGATCACTGTACTTTTCAAAGAAGATGATTAATAATACGGCATTCTGTTTTTAGACGTCAGTCTCTGTGAGCTCTGTCACTGTGAATTTGATCCACTCGAGCTGTGCCTGGTGTTCCCCAGGTAACATCTGATATCACTGCCCATCTTCTTCTGCAAGACGCAACTGAGTCTTCTCTCCTCAAAACAGTATATGCTTAAGAGTAGGGATCAAGTATCAAGCATCGTTGGCATCTTCTGCAATGCTTAGTACTGTGTTAGGCATGAACTAAGCATTCAAATATTTGCTGACTTCTGGAATTTGTCACCCTAAGAGTTGGCACATATGAATAGATTCAAGGAGGATTTTTGAAAAAATTCCTGGATAACAATCCACGGTGGACTATAATAGGAAGCCAGAGGATCCTGGGGTGTATCACAAAGCCAGCGAGGCTGCCAGCACGGAGAATGCTTTCCTACAAATCATCCCCTGGTGCCCATTGTCAGAGACGAAACGCTGCGTGGATGGGTGCAGAGCTCTGCCAATGTAGCATTTCTTGGGTTCTCAAGACACAAATGTCACATTGAAGTGCTTCTCAAACAAAGCTGGCAACATCCAGTGCCCTCCTGCTTTGAATTCTGGGCCTCTTTCCAAAGGAGATTAAGAGCACAAAGGCTCGGGTCTGTGTGGCTAGCACATGCCAACACTGCCCACCGCACTCCCCCTAGAAACGCTCCCAACCAACACGGCAATACGCCTCTCTATTGGCTAGCCCACAGCCACTGCGGAAAATTGCGCCGACTTGCTGGTAAAGGAGGAATTAAGCAAGAAATTACTTCCAAATAATGTGACGTAGTCACACGGATAAGAGCTGGCAATATTCCAGCCAGATGGAAACACTAATTTTGTAACACACCATTGATTATTCTCTATCATTTCATTCTTTTTAAAAAGGTACATAATGCAACAAGCAATGGTTAAGTTGAGAAGATTAAGTAATTAGGGCCCAGGGACCACTATCGCTCTAAGGTGGCATGCCGCAAGGTGTGCAGCCTGTGTGAAAGCAAGCCTGGCCTCAAGTCTCACATCCCCAGAGTCTCTGAGGCCAGGCTCCTCAGCTCCAGAGGCCCAGCCAGACCTCACAGGAGGAAACGTGAGGACACTCACCTGCTGCCCAGCTCAAAGGGTACAGCAGGCGACTCCACTCCAGCAAACGTGACCTCGTCGGGTCTTTACAGGAGGAAACAACGCCTTCCACGGCACCCAGAAGCCAAGAGACCGGAAGCCAAAACAGAGACTTGGTGCATTCTCACGCTCTGCCCTAGAGGCAAGCTAACTTTTAGCTGGACTTTCAATAACTTTCTAAAAAGACATTTCTTTCAGCAACACATCAACCACACTCACAACCTTAATTCTTACAAAATTAATTACTGTAGCCCATAAAACTAGAGAACTCAGGAAAAAAGGGCAGCTTTTTCAAAAGAATGCCTACCAGTCTCTCTCGAGTTTTAATCTGGCTGGTAGTGAGACAAGCTAAATAGAGCTTTGCTCAAGGAGAAAGTTCAGTCCTCAAAGAAGAAAAACACAAGTATTCTCCTATCACAAGCTGCCAGAGCTCTGAAATCAAATTAAGTTGATTTGTTAGTGAATTATGATTTTTCTCCTTATTACACTCAAAAGCTGCAAATACAAACTCACAGGAAGAAAAGAGTGGAGTGGGGGTGCGATGACCCAGAGAAATGAGCATGAAAGGGTGGGAGAAGCCCCTGAACCTCTCTCTAGGCTCCAATGCCAGGATCAAGGGGAAAGGCAGGGGGACAATTTGGGGCAACGCCTCGCAGCCACCCTGGCAATCTGGCTGTCACGGCCTTAAATTTTAAGGGCTTTCAGGAAGTAGCCCCTCCTCAGTCCAGCTTCTGACAAACACTTCTAACAAGACACATGGCCTCACAAAGCAGCGACTTCCTTTCCTGAGCTCCTTCCAGTTCAGAGGGCACTCGGCAGGCCTGGCTTTGAAATGAAGATAAAATGAACGGTCAGCATTTATTGTTCTCGGTGGAAGCAGGTTTCATTTTACTTCCCTTCTCAATTATAAAGTGCCAATTGTTTTTGACTTCTTAATTCTTTTTAATTTTATGACACAGTCCCACTATCAAAGTGTGGCCTAGCAAAGTGTCATTTCTCCACACAATAAATAAATAAAGCCAATCTTACATTTTTTATTTCGTGAACTCCCTCCCTCCTCCCCCCTCCACCAAGCCAGGAGCTGGAGGGAGCTGAGAACCCAGGCTACTGGCAATTACAAAGCAGGACGGTTTTCAGCCTCTGCGGACACCAAGAAGGGAGCCTTCAAGCCCTTCTTGCAATCATTCTCCCAGGCTTTCCATGGTTGCTGGGGCAACTAATAAAGAACACTGATTTTTTTTTCAGTGTAAGCCCCAGGGAGGAGGGTCAAACTGAGGGGAAAAATACTACTGGGACCAGGAGGAAGCTGGCCCGTGCTCTCTATTTCTTCAAGTGCTTTAAAAATAACACTCGAGTCTATCCATTCTCTACCCCCACCTTTCATTTTCTGGCTCCACCCACTTATCCTGGCAGACAGCTGAGCCCTCAGCCATCTGGCGTCCTAGTCTTAATGACACATGTTCCAATTTACATTAAGCCATTAGAGCTGTCCATTTCAGCAGGAAAGTTTCTGCCCCGCTAGGGGCTGGGCTCTGAGTCAGAGAACAGGCAGAGGGAGCCCTCTGTGGGGAGAGCTGGACATAGCTCTGCTCGAGGCCTGGGCCTCACCGGCTCCAAGGTCACACTTACCAGGGACCGTGGGGACAGCAGACGGGCACCTCCGGGCACATCTGAACAACTCCTTAGCAGAGTAAGGACGCTCATGGGCACGGCCAACCAGCGTCTTCCAAACAGTGCCTTGAAAGGGCAAGTGTAACTAAAACTCATGCCTTCGCCCAATTATAGTAAAAGCTATTACTCAGAATAACGAAGAACACTGTCAGACTGACCCAGGGAAAGTTGGAAAGAAATAGCTTTATTAGCTTCATGTCCAAATGCTCTCAATTCTATTACTAGAAATTGCATCAGTTTAACATGTACCAACAAAGTTTGCTGATTAAAAGCTAGGTTGTGGAAACCTTCCTTCTGGAGAGAGACTGTTCATTTTTAAACCCAGGAACAGGGAATGGGAATGCGAACCTAATACTACCCAGCAACAAGCACAGACGCTCTGGGGCTAAGATTTAGTTTGGAATAGGGGAGGATCAGCAGCAGCTGAGAAAGACCAGGTGAGAGGAAAGAGACGGAGAAGCTTGTATGAAGGAACTTTCTCATCTAGCAGACTTTCAGGGATTACCAGTAAAGACTGAAAGTTACGTTTTACACAGCCATAAGCGGGAATAGAACCTCCTGGTATTTTCCTTACAAACCAGATGTAATATTTACATGAAACAAGAGTCCTTTAATAAATGTAATATTTGCTGGTCCCAGAAGTTAAGGGAACATAAGAAACTCCTCATCTCTCCTAAGCCCCTAGTTTGAAAAATTACGAAGGTCTCTATCAGGAAGCTTACAGTCTAGCCAGGAATACAGATCTTTTTTTTTTTTTTTTAAAGATTTTTTTAATTTTTCCTTTTTCTCCCCAAAGCCCCCCAGTACATAGTTGTGTATTTTTAGTTGTGGGTCCTTCCAGTTGTGGCGTGTGGGATGCCACCTCAGCATGGCTTGATGAGCAGTGCCATGTCCGTGCCTAGGATCCGAGCCGGTGAAACCCTGGGCCGCTGAAGTGGAGTGCACAAACTTAACCACTCGGCCACGGGGCCGGCCCAAGAATACAGACAGATCTGAAGAAACTAATCTGGGGGCCGGCCCAGTGGCGTAGCAGTTAAGTTTGAGCGCTCTGCTTTGGTGACCCAGGGTTCAAGGGTTTGGATCCCAGGTGCAGACCTATACGCTGCTCATCAAGACATGCTGTGGCAGCATCCCACATACAAAACAGAGGAAGAGTGGCAACAGATGTTAGATCAGGGCCAATCTTCCTCATCCAAAAGGAAAAAAGAAGCAGCAGCTAATTTCAAGTGTGATGAGTATGATGAAAAGAAAGAAGAGGTTCCATAAGTGGATATAAATAACTTAACCTGACAAAGTGCCTTTGTGCTGTGACCTAAGGACTAATGAAGAGGTGGAAGAGTGGGTCCCAGCAGAGGGACCAACAAGTACAAAAGGCTGCAGGTGAGCGAGAAGGGGACTTCTTTCAGCTCACCAGGAGGTCACTGCAGAGAGTGGGAGAACCAGGTTCAGCAGGCCCTAGACCACAAACCGTGTGGCCTGAGAGCCACGTTACGGGTTTTGGACCGGAAAAGCCATGGTACAATGACTAAATTATTCTAATTCCAGACGTCCAGTTTTACGATACTTCTTATTCCTAGGCACCTGAATCCTGGGCTCAGGTATAAAATTCTTATTCACTCTTGAGCAAATTCCTCAGCTCCCTGCCATATTTAATACTGTATGCAGTAATCTGTTGCTAAGCATTTTATATCCATCTTCATTTAACTTCCATAACCATGAGAAAGAGGTGGCATTATTACAAGATGAGAAAACTGAGTAAAGTACTTGCCCAAGGCAACACAGCATAGGACATACGACAGAGCCAAGACACAAATCCAAGGAGTCGGATCACACTCGAGCACTGGGGTTTCCAGGTAAGACCCTACTCTTCCCCTTAAGGAACTTGTAGTCTAGTGGGAGGTGCACAGGAAATAGGCGACTGCCATACCATGTGCCACAGGTATGCCACAGGTGTGCCACAGAGCGCCAGAGGAGCACAGAGGAGACCAACAATGGGAGGGCCCCATCAAATGGTGTTTGATGTGCAGGATGAGAGGAGGGGGAGGGGCTGGGAACCTCAAAGAGCATCGATAAAGGCAGGTGTTACAAACGGAAACACTCACCAAGCTGGAGTTTGCAGATTCATTGGTATTGTGAATACGGCACTCACTCCTCATAGTCATAAGGAGACACAGAGCCTAAACAGAAGCCAAAGCTAATTTTTCCAAGGTTATTCTTCACAGAAAATAAATTACAGAAATCCTCTCTCCATAAACTTAGGAAGTGAATAATAAAGTTTTGTGAAATCAAAATAATAACTAGAGATAAGAACCATAGCCAATACGTACCCACGGGCAAAGGTCAGGTTCATTTCTAGGTAAGTGCGGACAGTCCTTCCTCCGTCAAACTTCGCCCTTATTACCACTTTGCCTTATTCCCCAGGAGCAGGGAAATGTCCTCTCTAACTTTGCATCTCCCCAAACCTACGCAATGCCTGTCATTTAGCTGTTGCTCAATAAAACTTCATAAGTATATCAATTCCCAGTTTTTTCCCCGACTGGATTCCCAACACTTTCTGAGGACTTTGCAACAGAGCTGAGAAAAGGCACACATACAACAGAGCCTATGGATCTAGCCCAAACTTTCTCTTTTCCTCCCTTTCCTTCCCTTGCCCCAGGGGAAAAAAAAATTCACTGCTAAACACTTTTCAACGTAAATAAAAGAAACATAATTAACCTTTTACTATTATGATAATTTTGCTTAAAATGAGAGCTCTTCCACAGGTTTTCTTTGTCAAAATGTCTGTTTAATTTACTCCATGGGATCCTGCCAGTCGACCCAGCATTGTTTCCACCCGTGTTTATGTCATTAGGGTACCATCCGACCTCTAGTGGCGTTGTTAAGGGACACAGCGCACCATGGTGACTTTGCTGTTATATTCTGTGTGTAAACATGTTGACTAATAAAAAGCTGCATTTGAAATATAAAACACACTACAAAAGATCAAGCCCAGAAAGGTTAAAACAGTGACTCTGAGAGAAGTTTGCCCTACCAGGCATGCCGAGCCTCCTGACCACTGCTGCTCTTGCAGCATCGGCAGCTCTCCGACACGCTCGGACAACCTCTCCTCGTAGGTCAGGTCTCATTCTCTACTTCAGCTGCTTTTCTTGAGACTTTTGTTAGAATTCCGAGTTCAACTGGCACACAAGGCCACTCTCTCCAGGCCTCTGACAGCCCGAGCTAAGTCAAGCCAGGCCAGGAAGCCCCCATCCTCACACAGTGCCCAGGGACACTCCCGGGAAGCCCCCATCCTCACACAGCGCCCGGCGACACTCCCTCCGGGTTTGCTTTGTCCAGGTGCAATTTCAGAGCTGACAATGTTTTACTCCAATGCAAACAAAACCATGGAGAGAAAACCTCTGTAATGAAGGGAAAAATTAAGGACTGTTCTCCTCTTAACTCTCTTGGCTTTAGCTCTAGCTTGTGGACAGAATCGTGAAAGCGCAGAGCTGCTCAGAGTTTTCACATACGCACGAGGCCAAACTCATTGCAGATTTTCTATTACAGATTTTTCAACTATCTTATAAAAACGACACTGTGAACACACCGCCCTCAAAGCGGCTTTTAGAGTGCGGAAATCCCTAGTGGTGACAGGCACAAGGCCAGCCATGTTCTCTCCCAAGTTCTCTGTGGCCCAAAACTCTCATCTGTGGGTAAGGGAAGATGGGGTTGTTCTGAGAAGAAATCCAAAATTCTTGGCTTTATTACCAATAAACTGCTTATTTAGATTATTCCACATCCATCTCTAGAAAAACACCACTCAACACAAGCCCTCTCCATTCTCCCTGGAAGAGGGTGGCCCTAAATCACCTGTCTTCCGCAGGAGCGCCTATGCTCACATCTTCAGAAAAGGGGACAGCTGACTGTCTGGGAACTTGCAGGAGAAATGAAATATCAAAGTAATAAAATGCAGACCAACGCACGCACACACTGCTAGACACACATGCCCTCTACTCAACAAGTCCAAAAAGCGGACGGGTCATCCTCTCCTGGGGTCAGATAAGCATCATCTGGTGGCTGGCTGATAAAGATAGGGAGGCTTGCACTTGGCTCTGAGCTTAACCCAGGACTGTCACCATTCTGCAGTTTTCCTGATGGAGAAATCAGGCACTGAAGGCACAGTACAGACCCCACGTCACAGTGAGCTGGGAGCAGGTGCCAAAAGCCACGGAATTCCGGTTGGTTTGGGACCAGTGGCAGGAAGGGAGCGAATGAATGAACCCCAAACATGACTGCGTTCCGGCTGCGCCTCGACCGGGGCGCCCGGAACAAAGGCTCTGTGTCCCGCGCCCAGCACGGCGCCTGGCACAAGCCAGGAGATCAGTGAATGTGTGTGCGACCGGCGAACAGCAGCTCCTTTCATCTGTGCGTCCCCAAAGCAACCTCAAGTCAGTCGATGCACTTCGAGCTATGAGAGCGGCGCTGTCAACCCCACTGCAGAGCTGGGGAAACCGAGGCGCAGAGGCATGGACTGGCCCAGTCAAGTCTGCGCGGAGGGACCACGGTCCCAACTACACCGAGGCCGCAGGACACTCCCACCCAGCCACGCCCACGCCACGGGCACCCCCGCTGCCCGCACGACGCCCCCACCTCACGCCTCGGTCACGCCAGGCTGGGGACAGGGCACCGCAGCCACCGCCCGGCCTCCCCGGGGCCCCCACTGGTCACGACCACCGCCACCCAGTCCCCAGCCCCGGGCGAGGAGGGGGCGGCCCCACCCCTGACCTTTTTGTCCCAGATCTGCAGCGGCTTGCTGCCGATGCTGTAGAGGATGGAGAGGAAGCCGCTCTGGAACGTGTTTTTGAACATCTCGCCGGCGGCCTTCTCCTCGGCCGCGCCGGGCCGGCCTACAGATGGGCACCAAGCGGCGAAGGCAAAGCAGGGGGCCCGCCCTGGCCCGAAGCAGGACGCTGCTCCCTCGACCTCCCGACCGACAGCCTCCGACGGCGGAACTTGGACGCTGGACGCTACGTCCGAGAGCCTCAGCTCCCTAAAAACACGACCCACCCGAGAACCGAAACCACAGCAACTGCCAGCCACGCCGCTCTCCCCGCCTTAAATGGAGGCGGCGGGCCGCCCGCCGCCCCAGGTGGATCCCTCCGCCCGCTTGAGCCCGCCCCCCGAAAACGCGGGGCCCAATCACCCCACAGGGCTCACGGACTTCCTGTGCCTTCCACCCTGAGGCCCCGCCCTCGTTCCGCCTCCTCGTGAGAACTACTCCGTTGCCCAGGGACTACTTTCCCATCGTCGGCCCGGAGTTGCTGTGAGAAAGCGGAAGGAGACGGAGGATTATAGAATGTGCGGTTGGAACCTGCGTGGTGTCATGGGAACCTGGCGGGGTGGGGTCAGGGGGCGTGAGGACCAGGCCCCGCCCCCTGAGACCCAGGAGGAGCTACAAGGGGAAAGGAAATGGAGAAAGGCTGCGAAGGCGCGTTGGCTGAGTCTTACCTGGTCTTACCTGGTCTCCTGAGAGTGCCAAAGCAATGCTTGTTGGCGAGTACGGGATAAGGTTCAAGCAGCTAGCCAGTATTGAGCACTAACTGCTAAGCGCCTTATGTGCATCATTGCTTTAATTATTAACGGGCTCCCTGCGAACACACGGCCACGTGTCTTAACTTGTGGGATGCAGTCAAAGCAATACTCTGAGGAAAATCCATCACCTTAAAGGCATTATTAGAAAACAGGAAAGCCTGACCATTAAGATAAAAACAGAAATTAATAAAATTAAGCAAAATAAAGTTGATTGAGTTGAATCAACAGCTGGATTTAAAAAAAAAAGTATTAATACCTAAAACATTTTTTAAAAGACGTAAAATAAGCTATGATATTTCAGGTGTGGAAGAAATCCCAAATTTTGGAGATCAATCACTCGCTGAGCATCTACCTAAATATTTTACTCTGTGCCCAGGCTTGTGCTGGGTACTGTGGCCGACAGAAAAGGAGTTTGCTGCTAATTCCATCGTCATAACAACCGGTAATAGTAACATCAATGGAACATTTATTATGTGTCAGGCACTATACTATGTTTCAGGCACTATGCTAAGCGTCTTAGCCTTTATTAAATCATTTAATCCTCAGAGCAACACCATGTGTGAACAATCCAGGCAGAATTTCCAGATATAGGGGAAAAAAACGTATGGATCTTATAACAGTAGAAAGTCAGAACTTTTTGTAAGGAACTGTTATTTGGGGATGATTTCTGGGGTCTCTGTATACTTTAGGCCAGTGAAAAAAATTTACCTTTTGATTGTTATTAAATTTTTCAAAATATCCTAGGGAGACACAGGATTATCGTATGTTAGATTTTCATGTGCACTTGAGTCTATTGCAGAATTTTTTATTCTGTTCCACTGAACACTGACAACACCAAATGCTGGTAAGAATGTGCAGCAACAGGAACTCGTATTCATTGCTGGTGGGAATGCAAAATGGAACGGCCACTTTGGAAGACAGTTTGGACATTTCTTACAAAACTAAAGATACTCTTATAGGATCCAGGAATTCCACTTCTTGGTATTTACCCAAAGGAATTGAAAATTTACATCCACACCAAAACCTGCACACAGATGTTTATAGCAGCTTTATTCATAATTGCCAAAATTTGAAAGCAACCAAGATGTCCTTTAGTAGATGAATGGATAAATAAACTGGCACATCCAGACAATGGAATATTATTCAGTGCTAAAAATAAATGAGTGATCAAACTATGAAAAAACATGGAGGAACCTTAAATGCATATTACTAAGTGAAAGAAGTCATCTGAAAAGGCTGCATACTGTACCATTCCAATTATTGACATTCTGGAAAAGGAACTATGGAGACAATAAAAAGATCAATAGTTTCAGGGGGTTGAGGTGTAGGGGAGAGATAAATAGACAGAGCACAGAGGATTTTTAGGGTAATGAAAATATTCTGTATGATGCCATAATGATGAGTACATGTCACTATACATTCGTCCAAATCCATAGAATGTACAACACCAAGAGTGAACCATAGTGTAAGCTATGGACTTTGGGTGATTATGATGTGTCACTGGAGGTTCATCAATTGTAACAAATGTACCACTCTGGTGGAGGATGTTGATAGTGGGGGAAGCCATGCATGTGTGGGGGCAGGGAATATATGGGAAATCTCTGTACTTTCCTTTCAGTTTTTCTGTGAACCTAAAACTGCTGCAAAAAATAAGGTCTTAATTAAAAAAGGAAACTTAGATTCTATCTTCAAGACCTTGAGTTAGACAAATGTTTCTTAAATGACACAAAATGCACTACCATAAAAAAATTGTTAAATTGGACTTCATTATAATTTTATAAGTCTGGTAATTAAAAGACAACATTAAGAGAGTGAAAAGGCATACCACAATCTGGGAGAAGGTATTTGCAATTCGTATATCAGACAAAAAATCTTATATCCAGAATATATAAAGAACACCCACAAGTTAATAAGAAAAAGACAGAAAACCCAATTTTGAAAAATTGGCAAAAGACTTGTAGCAGGCACTGTGCAAAAGAAAATATCCAAATGACCAACAAGCATATGGAAAGGTGCTCATTATATCTTGTCATCAGGGAAATGCAAATTAAAATAATGAGACACTACTACAGATCTACCAGAATGACTAAAATTAAAAGGACTGACAATACCAAGTGATGGAGAGGATGTGGAGGAAATGGAACGTTTATGCCTTCTTGATGGGAGTATAAATTGGTACAGCCACTTTATAAAACTGTTTGACAGTGCCTACTAAATCTAGACATATGTATACTCTGTGACTGAGAAATTCTAATCCCAGGTACCAAACAGAAATGCTTGCTTATGTTCATAACAGACATTTGCAGGAATGTCCTTAGCAATATCATTTCTAATAGCCCTAAACTGGAAACAACTCAAATGTCCATCAACAGTAGATGGATAAATTGTGATATATTTATTCAATGAAATACTACATGACAATGAAAATAATGAACTAATGCTCCACTCAATAACATGCACGAGTCTCACAGAAATAATGTTGAACAAAAGAAGCCAGACGTAAAATAAGCCAGATTGTGTGATTCAACTTACTGAATATGAAAAACAGGTTAAACTAACCTATGGTATTGAAGTCATGCTACGGCCTCCTAACTAGCATATGAGCTTCCGGTTCCTGTGTCCTCCAGCCTCTCTCCTCCCAGCCTCCATGTCAACAGCCTATAGCATTCTCTAGTCCTGTTAATCTGCTGCCCTTGGGGACAGTCCAAATGCTCACCCTACGTTTAAAGGCCTCAGAATTCACCAGGTGGGGCTCCGGGTTTTGTGGCACCTGCTGTTTGATCTCCTCTTTATAAGACACAGTTTTGTAATATCATTTTCATAGAGCAAATAGGATAATTCAGTCTTCCTTTATCATGGCTGATAGAAGGCTTCATAAAACACGCAACTTTACCCACGTGTGCTGCTGTTTCTAGTACTCCTCCTTGTTTGTGTCCTCCAGACACAGGGATTCTGATTAAGTCTACTTTGCATGAGTCTCACTAAAAAAAAGTGTCATATGTTTATAACTATACACCCTGCATTATTGACTCTATTTCTGATGGGAGGGAAGTTCCATTTGGACTTAGCTTTGATGAGACCCAAATCTTCTGCTTACCTTTGCAGATTTTATAATACCATATGGACCACTTGAATAAATTGCTAAGGCCCCTCCCAGGGCCTGGGAAGGGGCCCAGCAAGTGAGAGGTTCTGACGCTTGAGTTTCCTCAGTGTCTACGCCTCTGCTTCTCTCCTATCACTCCCTTCCTGTATCGTTCAGCCAGACTGGTCTTTGCCATTTCCCGTAAGTGAGCACTTTCTCACCTTATTTCCTGCCGGTGCCGCTCCCTCCTTCACCTTGTCTGCTTATTCCCAGTGGAGGTGGCTTTTCCTTTGTACTCCTCAACCACTGGGTTTACACGTGGCATGTGCAACCTCCTTGATCCTCATTGCTCCTCCCAGACCACTGCTTCTCTCTCCTTCCTGAAATGTCCAGCTCCTTTGAAACTCACACCATCAGACTCTGCAATCTACTACCCCTCCTCGTTAACAGCCATCTCAGATCATGTCCTGGATCATTCCTTGAATAGTTAATGTCTGGCCCAATGTCTCTCTCCACCGTGCTCTCGTTATTAACTATTTCTAATGTGTGTGTAACTGGTTTATTGAGACACAATTTACCTACTACAAAATTCACTCATTTTAATTGCATAATGATTTTTGGTGTATTTACCAAGTTGTTACTATCACCACTATCTAATTTTAGAACACTTCCATTACTCCAAAAAGAAAACCCGTGCCCATTGTCACTCCTAGCCTGAGGTAATCTCTACTCTACTTTCTGTCTCTACAGATTTGCCTTTTCTGAATATTTCATATTAATGGAATCATACAATATGTGGCTTTTGTGTGTGCCCTCTTTCACTCAGCATAATGTCTTTGAGGTCCATCCACGTTGTAGTACGTATGAGTACTTCATTCCTCTTTATTGCTGAAGAGTATTCCATTGTGTGGATACACCGCATTTTGTTTATTCATCAGTTGATGAACATAAGGGTTGTTTCCACTTTTTTGACTACTATGAAGAACGCTGCTAGAACGTTCACATACAAGTCTTTGTGATGACATCTGTTTTCATTTCTCTTGAGGATGTATGTAAGACTGAATTGTGGGGTAATGTGGTCATTCTACGTTCAACATTTTGAGAAACTATCAAACTGTTTTCCAAAGTGACTGCGCCATTTTATAGTCCCACTAGCAATGTGTGAGCGTTCCAATTTCTCCGCACCATTGCCAACA